GTGCTACTGACCACTCTTACACGACCCTTCTAATCTTCGTGAGTCATTAATAATTTATTACACACGAAATTCTGAAATGTGTGGGAAATTTCTTTTTACACAGTGAAATGCCAAATATCTGTCGTCATATATTGACGAGTTCTTAAAAGATTAACCGTCATGTCACATGACTCTACCCTTAAAGAAATGGTTTTAAAGAGTCGGAATTCGGCATCGACCTTGTCAATTACAGTTTTAATTTTTTTTAAGTTCTAGTTACAATGTGTAATGAAAAAAATTGCACTGTAAATTTGTTTTCTAAGAAAGTAACCAAAATCCAAAGCCACATTATAAAAATTATATCAAAGGGCCAAGGAATTTTAAACTATTACATGTAAAAATTTCGAAGCATATTATTATAGGTTTTAGAACAATGATTAAAAAACTTTACATTAAAAATTTTCTTTCAAAATAATCGAATTTCTTTTATTTTTAATTGTTTTTAATTGATGGAATTCTATAAAAATATGGATACATATAATTTTATATTCATAATACTCTGAATTTAAGCCACGAATTGATATGTTTTTTTGTATAATTATTATTATGTGTTTTTTGTGTCAGAACAATTGTTAAAAAATTCCATGTTAAAATTTCAGATAAAAAAATTTAAAGTTTTAAAAAAGGGAAACATGGTTTGACCTTACAAGAAATTGGCAAGATTATTTTGTACCGAGTGTTTTTTTATTAGATAAAGTAATTGATTGGCTTTCTATTATTTCATGTGATTGTTGAGTTATACAGTTTTTAGTGAGGGGAATTTTTTCATGACTCAAAATTGGAAAAAATAAAAGATTTTGAGGATGAAATAACACCAACTTTAGTTAAAAGTTAGCAGCTGATTTTCTTTTCACTAATTTTTACAGTTATGATTTTTCGAAACATGATTATTTCTTCTTTTTTCTTGTTTTCCTATTCGAGGGAATTTTAACATATACTTGCTGCTCTTCCCAAATTTTATTAATAGGGGAGGAAAAAATTATTCTTTCCAAAAAAGAAGCTTTACGAAGTGTACAAATACTAATTTAAGTCTTTTATGTGTTTCTCCTCAAGCCAAACCACCGGTTTTTAGTACAGTCTCAAATTGGTTTCCCAATTAAAAGCAATTTGGTAATATATAAATATAAATAAATATATTGTTAAAATATTTGATAAAATACCCTTTAAAATATTACAAAATATTGTACAATAAAAAAAAAAAAATTCTCATAAAATTTAATGAAATATTTCAACGTCATATCGCATAACTACCAAAAATCTTCCGTCGCCTTCACCAAAACTCATACTTTTCAAGTCGAGTAAATCAGCTTGACGATGTAATTGCTTTCTTTGATAACCATTTAATTCCTTGGGAAATTTCAATACTCTTTCTTCACTGTGATAAAATTTTTTTAAAGCTTTAATCATTGCCGTTATTATAAGATCATTTGTTAAACCTTCAAAATCTCTTCCAGAATTAAAATGACTTGGCTTGACGTGTGATGTTAATATTTTATGATTAAATTCTTCTTCTCCTTTACCTATATTAGGTCTATGTGGTTTACTTTGATTTCTAACTTCATGACTAAATTTCCAAGCATTGTTATTGTCATTTTTGTTGATTTTTTTAATAGTTGAATCAGTTGAATTTTGACGTTTTTGTTTTATTTTATAATTGGAGTTCGTTGATGTTAATACATTTTTATTTTTTTTTGTTTGTAAACTTTTATTATTATTGCTGTTGTTATTTTTATTTTTGGTATTGTTATTAATATTATTATTATCTGTATCTTCCTTTTCAATTTTGTTATTCTCCTTTGGTGGCAATGATGATGAACTATTCTCAAAATGTGATTTTTCTTGACGTCTTTTTTTCCACTCTCTATTTTCAGTATGACTGCACTCAAAAAACAAAAAATTTTTTTTTATAAAAATCAAATATATATTATGGGAAAGGAAAATTTTTCTTGATAATGTGCCTACCTAAATGGAAACATTTTACCAGATATAGCCCAACACTTTGCTAATTCTTTTTTAATGCATTTTGTATCATTTTCCACACGAATTTCCCATTCGATATGAGCTTTTGTTCTCGCTTTACCTTTACGACCAACTTCTTTTCGAAATCTTTCTTGATTTACCCACTCATCCAAATTTTCGTTATAACCATCCCATTCAAAAACGTCGTCAGTCCATTTTTGCGGCATTACATTCTCATCAATGACCACTTTGTCAATATATTTATGCATTTTAAACACTATTTCGTATAAATCATTCAAATCTTGATGATTTTTTTTGGTTAATGAATAAAGTTTATCCAACGGTGACGTCTCAACCATTTTCCTTGCCAAGGGTTCTCTTGACAATTTTCTTAACGGTGCACAAGTAAGCATTAGCGAAGTTAGAGTTGGAATTTCACAAGCGTAAAATATTATTTGACTCCATATCTCAACAGGAAAAATATCAAGAGCTGATTTTAGTGGATCGTTATCTAAAAGTATTTCATTATCAGAAAAATCTGTTTCATCAAAATTATCATCACTCATTATTATTATTGATTGTTATAAAAAAAGTTTATTATAAATAAAAAAGTTGGACAATTAATTATTATTAAATTACATATGTCACGTGACAATGTATTACATAATTTCAAAAATGAATAAATAAATTCTTTTATTTTATGGTAAATAAGAAAATAATTTTCTGATTCGTTGAGGACCTGTCCATGTTCCCTTCAAAAGACCGTTCCAATAAAGTTCAGGCAGGATCTATATATAAATAAGTATTCTTAATACAATAAATTCAAATTCTTGAAATTTTCTTTTAACAAAACAATAATAACAATGTACCTCTTTAGTAACCCAATATGTTGAAAATCTTTCCTTGCCTTGATCAAAAGGAAAAGTTTCCATAGGAGTTGCAGTGTATCCACTAAATTCTGCTAATATCAACTTATCTCTGCCGACTAATAATGGACAACTAGCATAACCATCGTATCTAGAAGCTTCGCCAGTATTAAATTTGCCAGCAATCAGGTCTAACAGATTTTTTTTGACTACAGCTGATTGAGCAGCAATAGCAGCAGCAGTTTTTGAAGTGGGAGCAGATGATGCATCGCCAAGTGAGAAAATGTTTGGATATTTTACATGTTGTAAAGTATACTGATCCACATCCACCCAACCACCAGCATTACCAAGTTTTGATTCAGCGATAAATGATGGCGGGCCCATAGGTGGAACTACGTGTAACAAATCGTATTGGGTGGTGTTCTCTTCACCGGTGACAACATTTTTAAATACAGCTTCTTTTTTGTCACCACGAACTTCTATCAAATTAGTCGAGGTGTTTACTTTTATATTACGTTCTTTAGCAACTCTGTTAAGAGAATTCGCATATTTCTCAATACTGAATATTTTCCCCATCCCGGTATTGTAAATCACATTTGTTTTTTCTCTTATATGCTTTTTTGTAAAATGATCTTCAGCAAGATATGCTATTTTTATTGCTGCACCTGGACACTACACATACATACATATATTAATTAAGCATAATTTTATAAATAAAACAAAAAAATATTATTACTATTATTTAAATCAAACCTTGATAGGTGTAGTTGGCATTGTGAAAATAGCATTTCCGCCTCGAAATTTTTGAAGTAATTCCCAGGTGTTTTCAACGGTGGTATCTAAATAATTGCTTGTAACACCATTTTTACCAATCGTCTCTGGTAATCCTTTAATTTTATCCCAGTTGATTTTAATACCTGGTGCTACTACCAAAAAATCATACTTTAACTAAAGTATAAATTTTATTTTAAAGATGTATTTAATACTTTAATATATATATATATATATATATTATTCTATTTGGTTTGTATTCTTTAACTTACTTGTTGACCATCTTCTAAATAAACACAATTATTATCAGGGTCTACTTTTTGGGCTTTTTTTTGAATCCATGCTGCTTTTTTTGGAATTACCGCTTCAGTAGGTTTAACAGAATCCGAAAAAGGTTTAATACCAGCACCAACAAATGTCCAAATTGGTTGATACTAATTAAATAAATTATATTTTTTTGAAGAGACATTGGATTTCATGAATATTATGTCAATGAATGATGATGATGAAAATAAACAAAACATAATATATATAGGTAAAAGTTTTACATAGTGAACTTTTGAAGGTTCTATAATAGCGACTTGATTTTGACCAAGCTTTTCAGATATTGTTGAAGAAACTTAAATAAATAAATATATTATTAATTAATAAATTTTTTAATTTAAATATGCAGGTATGATAAGATAATAAATAATAATTACCTGCTAAACCAGCTGTCCCACCGCCTTGAATAAAATAACAAAAAATCAATATATAAAATAAATAAAACTACTTTTAAATATGTGTATACGTACCGATAACCACAACTTTATACGATGGTATATTTGTTGTTGTTGAAGCAAGTTTTTTAAAAATGGAATGGGTAGATTTGGAATTTAATAAAAATCGTTTTCCTCCCAACATTTTTTATTAATTTATTTGATTAGAAAAAAAAAATTTAGAAAACGATCTGAATTTTATCTGAATTTTGTCATTATCAAAGTAACACAAACTCATTCATAATTATCATTCATCACACGGAACCAAATTTTACATAGTCTGCTCTTTATCCATTTAATCTGTTTATTCATGCAAAGAAATAATTTATTCTCTCTTCATTAGTAAGCTTTTGGACCTGGTGGTCCTCCCTTTGGTCCCTGTTTTAAATTTTATAACTACCCTAACTATGGTTGTTGTTTTTGGAAAAAAAGTAATTACGGATATCGTTTCAATGAACATCAAATAACTATGTCATGTGATTTATTTTAGATTAAAGTGTTCAAATAATTTCGGCAACTATTAAAATTAATTACAGCTACTATTACTGTGAAAAACTATTTCAGCATTTCATTTATTTTAGTCAATATTCATATAGACTTTCAGATCTGCAAACTTACTGATATCTTCAAATTGTAGCATGAACTCCTTTCAACCAATATAAAATCTGCTGTTTTTTTTTTTTTGGTTCAGCAGCATCATTACGAAAAGTTGGTTTAGTAGTCGCACTTAGAGATGGGAAATTCCATGAAATTTCAAAATTTCATGCGCATTTTATGCATTGCATTTTTTTAAATAAATTATTATCACTACCACTTCATTCTTCTTTACCCCTTTCTATTCTAATTGTTTCATCATCATCATCACTTTTATCATTTTCGCTTCCCTCATTTATCAATTGTAATATCCATATTATCATTGTTGAACATTTTAATTTGTAATTAAAATAAATATATATCAATTTAAAACACATTCAGATGCCAATAGTTTATTTCTCTTTTTATCATTAATAAAAGAAAAAGTAAACCAATTCCTTTTAGAAGCAAAGCTGATGAAATAGGAGGTTTAACAAATGAGGCAAAATTTTTGATTTCGTTATTTCTTAAAAATACAATCAATAGTATAATCAATAATAACTTGGTAAAATTAAAAATTCACATTTTTTTTTGAATAGAATTATGTATGGACATTGCATGATTTGAAAAAAAAATCATGCGCACATCGCATCTCTAGTCGCGCTTCTTTTTATCTCCTTCACAAGCTCAGGATAGCAACACTTTCTCTTTTCAAAAGCTCATCAATTTTATCTCTTATCGCCTCTCGTGAATGCTTTGGGGATTATCTCAATCCATGGGAGCTTTAGTTGTTTGTAAAAATGATCAGTAGTGATAGAGACGCTATTTTGTTTTTTTTTTTGTAAATTCTCAAAAATTCATTTGATTACAGAAGATTTTTCAGAAGGTCCTCTAACAATCAGTGTTTACTCATTTCGGTAATCTCTTCTACAGACTTATTACAACCATTACTATTTCAATAATTGAATATCTTATTCGATACTGTTTTCCATATGTGTAATGAACTTTGGGTGCCTTCAAAAATTATTATATTGAGATTGAGATTGAATATTTGATTGGATTGAGATTGGATCGAAATTGAAATTTTCAATCCATGATCAAAAATTATTTTATCAAGATGATCGACAATTATTAATTAAAAATGGAATTT